ATCCCCATTCCATTTGCCTGAGGTGTAATTCCATTCCCCAGCCATGTTCTCATCTTTCTTCCATTCAGATTTAACCCAACGGTTTTCCCATCCATCTTCAAAAAATTTACAAGAAGTAAAAATCAGCACAAGACAACAGGTCCAAGAAGCAATTAAAATTTGCATTTGATAAAAGGAAAAATTAACCAATCTTATGTCTTCTCTGTTTTTGATATCATTATAATATATTAACAAAACAGGAAATACTCCAAACTATGAATGGAGAAGTGTCACTTGTCCAAAGCAAACAGAAGCACCAACACATGAAGTACTCCCTTCCATATATTCGGTTACTTTCTGCTTCTTCACTTTTAATAATTTTGAAAAATCTTATTTACTATCACTCCTCAGGGAGCAAGAATCCCATGAATCATACAAAAGTTACTTTCACATGCAAACCATGCACAGCCATCACTCGGACATACATTAATGTATCTGATTTTGCAATTAAAATTCTGTAGTAATTTTCACAGGAAATGTAATGTGAAAGGGGCTACATCATTACCCACGATTATACTACGACGTGTTATACGTTAGTTAAAACAGATCGAACAAAAGCTCAACATATAAATCAACAATTACAAAATATTCTGTCAAATTATTGCTTAAAACATGAAATTAATAGCACAACTCCTCTCAATCAATTCAGCATTTTCAAAATCAGAGCATTCAAAATCGAAAACCTAGTAAATTTGACATTTAAATTGACAAAAAGGAGAGAAATGTCGTAGATCTAAACCAAAGAGTCGTAATTGAACACGCATTTAGACCTAAAGTCCATTCCTTCGTTCAAACAATCAGATCGATATATATATATATACCAGAAATTAACCTCGATCATCCACAAAATAGTCAAAATATCCATCATAAAAATCTGAAATTATATCAAGATGACAGCAAAATTAAACCACAGGTAGCAGAACACTACCTTCGAAGCGTTCTTCGAATAAAACTTCAGCAGATGAAATCGCGAAAAGCAGAGAGATAGCAATGGCTAGAGAGGGAAAGTCACAGCTTTTCATTGGTGCTCTTCTCCGTACTATCCCCATGGCTGTTTGAGAGAGAGAGAGAAACTGTTCGTACATCACAGTGAGAGCTGCTTATATAGGCGAGTCGTTCTTTGGGCTTTAAGCTGGGTTTACACTGAGTTCAACTCGTGTCCTTGATCTGATGTGGCATGATGGGATGAAATGGATGAATCAGAATTTGCCAACGTATAATTTGCTGTCATTGATTTAACGTGGCATATCCTCATTGGGTTTCACATGGTGAAACTTGTACGATAATACTTGGTCTAAAATGACGAATTTAACCTTCGAAGTAATGAACGTGGGTTGCGTGATTAACTCTAGTTATAAAATACAATATCTATTTGGTTGGATTTTTATTTTTTCTTCTATTTTTTGTAAAAAGAAAATTTGCTTTCAAAGAATGCTTTCAAGAGGTCTTCTGGGGATTGGCAATAACAAGAAAAGGTCGGCATGGCCCCACTGATTTGTTTTTTTATCAGAGCATCAAGGAGCACAATTCGACGAGGCTTTGAGTTCCTATTGCGGCAGCTAGCTGAGATAGAGACCCTTGACCAGATTGTTAGTCATAGAGTCCCGAAGTCCTCATTTATCCTAAGAGCTTGGCCCGGCCAGCCGAGTAGGCTAAGATCTTATCCTTTTCTTGAGAAGCAAGCAGTGATAAGTTTTGGTTTGCTCAACTTTATTCGAAAATGAAGTAGGTTGTGAGGAATGGCAGAAGACCCTGATTGGCTACTTCGTTGACCACTAAAAAAAATTTACAGTATCCAGTCGTAGATCTCCTATCTGTCTGTCGACGAGTCGGCCCAATCCGCATCTATCCCTTCCCAAACTATGCAAGCTTCTTCCAAAGCCAATTCGAAAAAGTCTTACATAATGAGTAAAAAGCAAATTTTCGTATTCAATATGATCAACGTTTCGAATTTGACCAATTGAGATATCTGAAAACAATATTTTTTATTATTTCTTCATTCAAATTCGAAGTGGCGTCTTAGTCTATTTCTGTATTCTTTCTAGATTCAAACAGAATCACAAATAAAATAGATTCATAGATTTGATATCTTGTATAGAACTTAAAAATTACATTAAGTCAATTTTCTCTAATACTATTCTAATCAGACAAAATCCCCCCAAGAAAATTATTTGAAAATGTTCAAAAACATTTTCTTAATCTCGGAATTACCTTTTGAATTATCAGAAGTAATTTGTTTCAAACGAACCCTAAAATACATAAGATTATTTTTAAATTCCTGTTTATTAAAACATAATTGCAAAATAATTTCGACTACTCTACTATTTTTTACTAAAAATAAAAAATTGTCTCTAGCTAATTTTTTGAAATATGTCTATTTAATCATGGAAAAAGATTGTAGTACATTTTTATTAAAATGTCATCCATGTAAACTTATACAGGTGACGAGAAATACTAAACTATCTAATCGACAAGAAAAATCAGACATAATTGATGAAAATACTTGAATGATTCAAATTCCGAGTAAAATGAAGGAGATTTTACTATACATTCGACTTGACTATAACTCGTGTGCCCACATATGTGCATACACACTGTATAGATTACAAAATGGCGTTGCTAATGATATCAACAAGTGCAAGGGGTAACCGGCCACAATAATATATCTTTAGCATTGAGAGGAGGGCTAATTGCCTATATTGGTTGTAGATAATGGAATGTTAATAAAATCGTGAATGATAAATAAGTGCAAAATAATCCTAATTGTGAATATTGATCGGGTATGCTAGATTGTCAAAGAAATCATTAATAATAAATGACCAGCGTATATGAAAATCAGTGACACGTATTTTGATTGAGAATTTATTTTAATGTTGTATCATCCATAGGGTTACAAGGTGAATCAAAGGGATTTTGGAGACAAATATTTTTAATAGTAGATAGGTCCACAACTTGGAATATGGCCTGTGGTTTGGGAGACAATAACTTTAAGGCAATTCTTTTAAGATAATTTGTTTAAACTTTAAATTAAATGTTTGAGCATTAAAAGCATTATTTTATTTATTTTTTTATGTGTGTGTGTTTATTTTAATGAGTTCTTCTTAGAGGTTGAGTTAGTAACATTTTTGTTAGTACATGGCTTAGTTAGAATTCAAGATTCAAATGACTATTTTGTTTAAAAATTGAAATAGTTAAAGAGTGAATATTTTTAGTTATTTATCTTTAGAAGTTGGCAAAAAAATTAACCAACTTAAAATAAATAATTATACTTAAATAGAAAACATATAACAATAATCGAATATATAAATTTGTTAATTTTTTAAACTTTTCATACCATTTTTTTTTAAAATTTTTCTTATGAACTTAGTTAATTCAAAGATTATATAGAATTGTTCGTTGTTTCATATATTCTTACATATTTCCTTGCAGATATTAGAAATAAGTCTTTAATTTTTTTAGGAGTCTTTTCTTTTAGTCAAGATAGGACTCCACGAAATTTCGAACACCTTAACCACAAAACCTAGTCTATACAATTGTGGAGAAAAAAGGATTGGGAGTAGCTGATGCTTAATGGAAAAAGGTTCGTTCTTTTATTTTACATTGAAAATCACACACTTGAAGAGAAATTTGAATCCATATATAAAGACCACAATTCTTTGTTTATGCGTGTGATGCACTTATATAAGCGTAATTCATTTTTTGCCACACATCTCTTTTGTGTGATTCTCTCAATTTCCATGTAAATAAAATATAAATATACATACCCTAGTTCTCCATCTCATGGGGTACATAGAAAATATCAGTGCAAATCATTTTTCCTGTTTCTTTTTTAAGTAATAATTAGGCAAAATACTTGTTTTCTTTAACAAAATTGAAAAATACTTCATTTTACAATTTAAAATTTTTTAGTAAGATTTAATTAATTTTTTTGAAAATAATTTGTTTCAATTCTATAAATATTTGTTTGACCTAATTAAAGTTTACTCACTAGATCCAAAATCCGCCAAACAGAAACCTAAAATAGGGATTCAAGAAAGTGCAAAACTGAATCGAACCTATTGTTTAGAAATCGTTGGTTTGAATCCACGTGGAATGTTTATTTTTATGAAAAGCAACACAGTATTTTGTGTATGTGGATTGTTAAATTTTAATGACAAGTAATAGTATGTTACTTTTTTGCTTGGTTAAATTTGAAATGTTGAGTTTTGATGAAAACGTAATGGCATTTTCAATTTTTTGCACCTCGGTATTTTTCAAATTCTTTTTCCCTTATTTTTATTTCACAAAATTCTGTGGGATTTTCATTCATACCTAGTGATCATGAGTTCTTTATTTCAACATTTTCATTGAATACAATTATTAATTGGTAGAAGGTAGAAATAAAAAGCAAAAGCCCACATCAATGTTGGATTTGACTCAAGTTAATGAAATAAAAAGGGAAAATGGCTTAAAAGCGTAGTTAAATAATTTAAGAATTGCATGATAATTTTAATGAAGAGGAAGAAGGACCAATGTTAATAATTATAACCTCAGCTTGACTGAAGAATTCTTTGGCAATGATAAGTATTAAGGAAATAAGTTATTAGCTAATTAGGGTTGGTATTGAGAATTCATGCAGCCAAAGTACGTAGAGAGAAGAGACAAAACCCTAGAAGAACTAACCAGAGTTCCACTATAAATTTTAAGACGATGCTACACTAACAAATCTATCTATAAAATATTTGACAAACTCGACAAGTGACGACCCCCTATTGGAACATTTTGTACAATATTTTATACAGATATCTTTATCCTAAATTTTATTGTTTGATTGTGCCCATATAAGCCACTGAATCTTTCAAATTTCAATTCTAACAATCAAATTATGTAAAAAAATAAAAATCAATATAATGGTAACTTTTTCAAAATAAGGACAATAACTTCAAGAAATTTACAAAAATGAACATCAGAAGAAAGAGAAATTCTTTCCCATTTGAGGATTTTCCGCAAAGGGAAGAAGAACAAGTCTATTTACGAAAGGAAAAGCCCGAAAATATTCGGATTAGAATTCCAAGTAGAATAATCTCCATTTATCAATCCTTCAAATTCAAATGGATCAATCGAGTTGTTTACTTCTGGTTGCAACACAAGGTTTTCTATAGATTCTTGAGCTATCCAATTTATAGATTGTGGACGGAAACCATCTGATATGGAATTTTCAATGCCATTCTGAATCACTTGATCATTAGGATTTACATCTAACGGATTAGATATATTTGCATCTCCCACATAATCCGAGTAAGGATAGTCGAAAACTAGATTGGAAGATTGTGTTACCAAATTAATAGATGATGCATCTTGAATATTTTCTGCTTGTCCCCAAACAGTCTGGTTTTGAGTCACAATCCCTACAGAAATCCATAACTGTTACAAAATAGTAGAGATTTTAAAAGTTGCAATTGAGAATTTCAACATTTTTTTCTGCATAATTAGCTCCCGTTTGGCCCCCTTAAATTATAATTCATTTTTAGCCACACATTATTCAAAAAAATACTATTCCAAAAATTATAATCACAAATAATGGGGCCAAATAGGGCTTTAATCTCATACGTACCTGATGTTGAATTTGAACGAAACATATGAGGTTCCATTGTTATTGGTGTGATATAAGTTGGATATGGATATTGCATTTGAGGGAGAAATTCCGATATGGTATCGAAAGAGTAAAAAGTGGATTCTTGGCTTGGGAAGAGCTCATGGCTCAATGAAAATAATCGTTCGTCACTTTGCAAAAGCTTTTGGTAGTGTTTATCGAGGGTTTTGGGAGCGAATTGAACATAGTGTCTCCTGATCAAAAAGTCACAAATATCGTTAAGTATTCGAGTGAAGTGAATTAGTACAATGAATAAGAATTTAAATTATCTATATTTTCAATTAGTACAATTGAACTTATTATGAAGAATACCTCCAGAAGGAAGCTTGACCTCCTGTAAAATCAAACCAAGGTTTCCAAGCAGAATGTTTTCGCGGTTGTGGATCGGTTTCGCAATAGAACAAAGGAGGCTGATTCAACTGCAAAAATTTCTCATTTTAAGCTAATATCGACCTAACGATCGATGGACGATAATTGAACATTTCATTCATTATATTAATGACAGGTCAAAATAAAGGCAAAATGATTTAACCTCAATTTCCAAAGTTGCTACTTCATTATCAGGCATACTGGCTCGAATTGCACTAATATCAGACCATTGAATTTCGATCTTTTTCTTCAATGGTCTTTGTAGAATCTCCCAAACAATTTTTTTCTTCGCGTAGTATATCTTCACAATCACGTCTCCTTCATACATTGCTCTCCACTGTCACATTACAATAATTCTAAATACTTTTTCTAAGAAAAATTTTGATTCTTAGAGCATCATTTAAGTATTTCATTTCAAGAAAATCCAAAAAGAAATAATTATAAAAAATTGAAATACCTCCCACGTTCCTATTCGAAGCAAATTTGCAGGGAAATTGGTAGCCTTCAAATGCTCATTAACAAATCTATCTATAAAATATTTGACAAACTCGACAAGTGACGACCCCCTATTGGAATATTTTATACAATATTTTATACAGATATCTTTATCCTAAATTTTATTGTTTGATTGTGCCCATATAAGCCACTGAATCTTTCAAATTTCAATTCTAACAATCAAATTATGTAAAAAAATAAAAATCAATATAATGGTAACTTTTTCAAATAAGGACAATAACTTCCAGAAATTTACAAAAACGAACATCAGAAGAAAGAGAAATTCTTTCCCATTTGAGGATTTTCCGCAAAGGGAAGAAGAACAAGTCTATTTACGAAAGGAAAAGCCCGAAAATATTCGGATTAGAATTCCAAGTAGAATAATCTCCATTTATCAATCCTTCAAATTCAAATGGATCAATCGAGTTGTTTACTTCTGGTTGCAACACAAGGTTTTCTATAGATTCTTGAGCTATCCAATTTATAGATTGTGGACGGAAACCATCTGATATGGAATTTTCAATGCCATTCTGAATCACTTGATCATTAGGATTTACATCTAACGGATTAGATATATTTGCATCTCCCACATAATCCGAGTAAGGATAGTCGAAAACTAGATTGGAAGATTGTGTTACCAAATTAATAGATGATGCATCTTGAATATTTTCTGCTTGTCCCCAAACAGTCTGGTTTTGAGTCACAATCCCTACAGAAATCCATAACTGTTACAAAATAGTAGAGATTTTAAAAGTTGCAATTGAGACTTTCAACATTTTTTTCTGCATAATTAGCTCCCGTTTGGCCCCCTTAAATTATAATTCATTTTTAGCCACACATTATTCAAAAAAATACTATTCCAAAAATTATAATCACAAATAATGGGGCCAAATAGGGCTTTAATCTCATACGTACCTGATGTTGAATTTGAACGAAACATATGAGGTTCCATTGTTATTGGTGTGATATAAGTTGGATATGGATATTGCATTTGAGGGAGAAATTCCGATATGGTATCGAAAGAGTAAAAAGTGGATTCTTGGCTTGGGAAGAGCTCATGGCTCAATGAAAATAATCGTTCGTCACTTTGCAAAAGCTTTTGGTAGTGTTTATCGAGGGTTTTGGGAGCGAATTGAACATAGTGTCTCCTGATCAAAAAGTCACAAATATCGTTAAGTATTCGAGTGAAGTGAATTAGTACAATGAATAAGAATTTAAATTATCTATATTTTCAATTAGTACAATTGAACTTATTATGAAGAATACCTCCAGAAGGAAGCTTGACCTCCTGTAAAATCAAACCAAGGTTTCCAAGCAGAATGTTTTCGCGGTTGTGGATCGGTTTCGCAATAGAACAAAGGAGGCTGATTCAACTGCAAAAATTTCTCATTTTAAGCTAATATCGACCTAACGATCGATGGACGATAATTGAACATTTCATTCATTATATTAATGACAGGTCAAAATAAAGGCAAAATGATTTAACCTCAATTTCCAAAGTTGCTACTTCATTATCAGGCATACTGGCTCGAATTGCACTAATATCAGACCATTGAATTTCGATCTTTTTCTTCAATGGTCTTTGTAGAATCTCCCAAACAATTTTTTTCTTCGCGTAGTATATCTTCACAATCACGTCTCCTTCATACATTGCTCTCCACTGTCACATTACAATAATTCTAAATACTTTTTCTAAGAAAAATTTTGATTCTTAGAGCATCATTTAAGTATTTCATTTCAAGAAAATCCAAAAAGAAATAATTATAAAAAATTGAAATACCTCCCACGTTCCTATTCGAAGCAAATTTGCAGGGAAATTGGTAGCCTTCAAATGCTCATTTTCCATTCGAGGACTATTGTTGTTTAAGCCAAGAGCCGTCGCCGTTGAATGAACTTCTTGATTTCCATTAGCCATCGTCATCTCCACTAGATCGACAAAAGATGGCGTTTTTTGCAGTGTCAAACCTAAAGGGCTGGACTCTTCAGAAGAATCGAGAATTTCTTGCTGTCAAATCCATTAATGAAACAAATTAATAGGGACAAATATAAAAAATAGAAGGAAAAAAAAAAATATATATATATATATACACACATATATATACATGTGCATGATTTTATTTAAATTAAGAAACACCACGAAATCAGAGATTTTAAACTTCAATACTGTACAATATTCAAACAATCACGCATGAAACCTAGTAAATTACAAGAAATAAAAGTTTTTATAACAAGACTGCAAAAGGGACAGAATAACTTGAAGAACCTGCAGATCATTGGTTTGATTTCCAAACGCAGAAAAGGGACTATTGTGAAAATTTTCAATTTCATCCCTCATCGCTTAGGTTTTGTGAAAATACTGTTCTTCTTCTTCTTCCTCTCTTAAGAATATTTCATTGAAAGTTCCCACCAAAATTCAACTCAGATTTGCTAACTATATATATATTATATATTTTTGCAAAATGTTTGAATTTATTAACTCAACCAGCTGTTTCAGGGTCCGCATATACTGGCTATAGAAAACACTTTAACAGTGAAACTAGCGATTTTTTTGACAAGAAAAAACCAATCATTTAATGGTTATCGCATAAGAGGACTCTCTTTCAGTTTTAAACACTCTGTTACAAAGTTTATCAATTTACCAACGACTTTCACCAGTCAAAAATTGGCGCCAGGGAGGGAGGCTGCGTTTTGCAAATTTTGGTTATTTAATTCTTGAAAAATGAAATTCTAACATTTATCAGAAGACAAGCAATACAATGATTTTAGGGTTTCAATACAGTCAATTTTATTCATCCCAAAGGAGGGGTATATATCTACGCACAAACAATCTTCCTATAATTATGCAGTATCACACAATATCCTATTGCCATAGAAGTCCTAATTATACTTATTTACTATATTCTATTAATAGAAAAAATCTTTTTTCCAATTCTACACTCCCCCTCAAGTTGGTGCATAGATATCTATCATGTCCAACTTATCGATTAAGCCGTTGAACACTCGTTTAGGTACTCCTTTAGTAAGGACATCCGCTAATTGCTGTTTTGAAGTTACAAACTGGAAGTTAATAATTTTTCTGTCGAGATTCTCTTTAATGAAGTGACGATCAACTTCCACATGTTTCGCCCGATCATGCTGAACTGGGTTATGTGCAATCTCAATAGCAGCTGTGTTATCACAATACAGATCCATGGGCTTCTCAAGTTTGTAACCCAGTTCTTTCAAGACATTGCAAATCCATAGCATTTCACAAACTCCATGTGCCATGCCTCGAAACTCAGCTTCTGTACTCGATTTGGCAACAACTTTTTGTTTCTTACTACGCCATGTGACAAGATTTCCTCCAACAAAAGTGAAGTATCCAGATGTAGAACGCCTGTCTGTCTTATCTCCTGCCCAATCCGCATCTGTATACCCAACAACATCTAGTTCACCCTTTTTTTCAAACAATAATCCTCTTCCTGGCGTCATCTTCAAATATCTTAAGATACGAAACATATGTTCTTCACTTGGACAGTGCATAAATTGACTGACCACACTTACGACATACGCAATATCGGGTTTAGTATGAGAAAGATAAATTAATCTTCCTACTAAACGTTGATACCTCCCTTTATCAGTCGGGATTTGATTAGGATAGATGGCAAGTCCATGATTCATCTCAATCGGTGTTTCAGCTGGTTTACAATCAAGCATCCCAGTTTCAGTTAGCAAGTCAAGGACATATTTTCTCTGCAAAAGTGAGATTCCCCTTTTAGATCTTACAACTTCAATCCCTAGGAAATATTTCAGTGATCCAAGATCTTTCATCTCAAACTCCCTTGATAAATTTTTTTGCAATTCATTCATCTCATTTTGGTCATCTCCTGTAATAATCATATTGTCAACGTATACAATCAAAGCCATAATCTTACCATTCTCGCGCTTAACAAACAAGGTATGGTCCGAATTGCTCTGTTTGTACCCAAAGGCTGTCATGGACTTTGAAAATCTCCCGAACCAAGCTCTCAGTGACTGCTTCAAACGATACAACGATCTTTTTAATTTGCAAACCTTGTCAACGTCACTCGGATTGGTCCCAACTCCCAGGGGTACATCCATGTATACTTCTTCCTCTAAATTCCCATTCAGGAACGCATTCTTTACATCAAATTGGCGTAAAGGCCAATCTTTGCTTGCCGCAAGGGAAATTAGAATTCGGACAGTATTGATCTTTGCTACCGGTGCAAATGTCTCCTTATAATCGGTCGGATAGCGTTGTGTGTACCCTTTAGCAACCAACCTGGCTTTGTAACGGTCAATAGTTCCATCTGCCTTGAGCTTCACAGTGAACACCCAACGACATCCTACAGTTTTCTTTCCAATAGGTATATCCACAAACTCCCATGTTGCATTCTTTTCAAGGGCTTCCAACTTCTCATCCATCGCCTTCACCCATTTAAGGTCAGCCAATGCTACATGTTACTAGGAATAGATACATTAGATAATTGATCAACCACAAGTGCATGTGACTTAGATAGCCTATGATTAGACATAAAATTGGATATGGGATATTTGATTTTGGATTTAATGTCTGGTTCATACTGTTTCTTAGGAACACCTTTAGTAGCCCTTTGTGACTTCCTAATTTCTAACTCAGATGACTCATTTAAGTGTAAAGGTACCTGAGGTAGATCATTCTGAACGGGGTCTTCGATTGGTGGTGTAGAAGGGTGGAAATCAAAAGTGTGACCTTCAACTCCTTCACTAGGGTCCATATGATTGATCATTTGTTCATTGCAAGCTTCTTTATCACGTGATGATGGATCAACTTCTTCTGTCTCAAGTGGCATTCCAACACCTTCAATAGTAGTTTCAGACACTCCTCTTGTTTTTCCAAAATTTTCTTCCAAGTTTTCCAACTCTCCAAATATGTCACTCTCAACGGTAGAGTAATGATTCCCTTCAAAAACCCTCTCCCCCTGAGGGGAATGTTGAGGAGCTCTTTCAGAGTAATAAAGCTTAGATTCATGGAAAGAGACATCAAGAGATATATAGCCCTTCTGAAATTCTGCTTATCCTACAAATATACACTTTCTCGCTCGAGGGTCCAACTTGGGGTCAAGTGTGTGTCATTGTTGCTTTGGTATGTGTACATAGGTTGTACACCCAAATATCCAAGGTTCCAAATTCGGCATGGATGGGATGGACAAAAGTTCATGCATTTTCTAATAAGGATTCTAAAACTCAATCACCCTGGAAGGGGTACGGTTGATGAGATAGGCTGCAGATTTCACGGCTTCTCCCCAATATATTCGAGTTACATTCATGCCAAACAATGAAGCACGAACCACTTCCATCAACTGCCTATTTTTTCTCTCTACTACACCGTTTTATTGGGGAGTATATGAATTTGAGGTCTGATGACGAATTCCATTTGATCGGCGAAATTCCATCATAGGACCATTCACAAACTCGCCACCGTTATCAGACCGAAAAACTCTAATCGACTGGCGATATTGATTTGACACAATTTTATAAAATTCACTAAATCGTTCAAAGACTTCACTTTTACGCTTCAACAATGACACCCAGATCATACGCGTGCAATCATCAATAAAAGTTACATAATACCGAGCACCAGAACAAGAAGGAATTCTTGCAGGACCCCAACCTTCACTAGGGTCCATATGATTGATCATTTGTTCATTGCAAGCTTCTTTATCACGTGATGATAGATCAACTTCTTCTGTCTCAAGTGGCATTCCAACACCTTCAATAGTAGTTTCAGACACTCCTCTTGTTTCTCCAAAATTTTCTTCCAAGTTTTCCAACTCTCCAAATATGTCACTCTCAACGGTAGAGTAATGATTCCCTTCAAAAACCCTCTCCCCCTGAGGGGAATGTTGAGGAGCTCTTTCAGAGTAATAAAGCTTAGATTCATGGAAAGAGACATCAAGAGATATATGTAACTTGGCAGTAATTGGATCATAACATCTACAGCCCTTCTGAAATTCTGCATATCCTACAAATATACACTTTCTCGCTCGAGGGTCCAGCTTGGGGTCAAGTGTGCCGTTGTTGCTTTGGTATGTGTACATAGGTTGTACACCCAAATATCCGAGGTTCCAAATTCGGCATGGATGGGATGGACAAAAGTTCATGCATTTTCTGATAAGGATTCTGAAACTCAATCACCCTGGAAGAAGTACGGTTGATGAGATAGGCTGCAGATTTCACGGCTTTTTCCCAATATATTCGAGGTACATTCATGCCAAACAATGAAGCACGAACCACTTCCATCAACTGTCTATTTTTTCTCTCTACTACACCATTTTGTTGGGGAGTATACGAATTTGAGGTCTAATGACAAATTCCATTTGATCGGAAAAATTCCATCATAGGACCATTCACAAACTCGCCACCGTTATCAGACTGAAAAACTCTAATCGACTGGCGATATTGATTTGACACCATTTTATAAAATTCAGTAAATCGTTCAAAGACTTCACTTTTACGCTTCAACAATGACACCCAGATCATATGCGTGCAATCATCAATAAAAGTTACATAATACCGAGCACCAGAACAAGAAGGAATTCTTGCAGGACCCCAAACATCAGAATGAATTTTCATAAATGGAACTAGACTTTTATTAAAACTTGGTGGATAGGAAATACGATGGCTCTTGGCCAATTCACATACATCACAATGAAATTCTGAGTCACTAACATTTGAGAACAATTTTGGTTGAAGTTTTTTAAGATAACTAAAAGATAAATGACCTAAACCACGATGCCATAACCAAACAACTTCCTTTGCACTATCTGCCCCATTAATCTGATTAACTTGTCCCAAAAAGTTCTTCCGTTCCTCTCCAAATTTTGTCAGATCCAGGTAGTATAATTTTCCCCTTCTAACACCATAACCAAGAATCCGTCGTGTCAGGATGTCCTGAAATACACAAAATAAAGGATAAAAGGTCACAGTACATGCGAGAGCAAGAGTAATTTGACCCACAGATAGGAGATTATAAGCCAATGAAGGAAGTAACTTGGCAGTAATTGGATCATAACATCTATAGCCCTTCTGAAATTCTGCTTATCCTACAAATATACACTTTCTCGCTCGAGGGTCCAACTTGGGGTCAAGTGTGTGTCATTGTTGCTTTGGTATGTGTACATAGGTTGTACACCCAAATATCCGAGGTTCCAAATTCGGCATGGATGGGATGGACAAAAGTTCATGCATTTTCTAATAAGGATTCTAAAACTCAATCACCCTGGAAGGGGTACGGTTGATGAGATAGGCTGCAGATTTCACGGCTTCTCCCCAATATATTCGAGTTACATTCATGCCAAACAATGAAGCACGAACCACTTCCATCAACTGCCTATTTTTTCTCTCTACTACAC